TATTAATGTTAATATGTTATATGTAATAGAATATTACATAATACAACGGTTCTATTGTACCTACGACATTGACACTGACTGATGTTTACATGAAGAAGTTCAATGTTGCAATTTGTAGCTACCCGGATGTTGCAATGTAGTGCATACAGTGAACGTACGAATTAAAGGAATGACATTCCGAAATAAGAATATGATATTCCGAATATCGTATAACAGCCTCGGGGGTTTAGTGGTTTAGAACACTGCTTTACTATCGATGGTTACGGGTTCGATTCCTCGTTCGATGCATATATTTATATACATGAGTATGATTGCTTGTATTGATTTGGGTGTTTTCTATGTATATTATGTATGCATTTACAAAAATGGATTTAAGTGTTTATATCAGTTGTCTAGTATCCCTAACACAAGCTTTCTCTTCTTGAATTGTCTTGGGTTATTACGTATAATTATTCTGAAATAATGAACCTCCTTGGTATATTTTGTTCATGAAAGTTATTTAGAATTTTGTTTATATTATTTAATTAAATGAATTATAAAAAATACCTTTGGAGTTTTTTATAAATACAGACAAATATGAGAAAATATTCAAAAGACGTATAACAATGAAAAGATCCTAAAACAGAATCTATTATTAAATTGAAATGTAGAGTATCTTTGTATAAATTAAAACTAATTTTATAGCGTACTTATGATTAACAAAAATATTTTTTATATTGGTTTTTGGCGAATCGAAAATTCAAAGCTTTTATAATTATTGTTGATATTTATTTCTGATATATATACATGATACCTGAAATCATGGCATAATGTAAAATTATCAGTGATTGATTTAAATTGGCAAGGTGAACCGACACAGATCGGAAGCGGAAATATAGTTGACATTTTATGCAATATTTCTCATGAACTCGCATTGAACTGTAAATAGTATATCAAGTATATTATATCTTTCTTTAGAGATATATATCTTACATATTATTCTCTCACGACTTCCTCCACGAGATCAGAGTATACTGATTGACCGCGTTAAAAAATAATCGGTTTTTTACCGGACTCCTCTAATTCTGTTAGCGCAGCTGGCCACAGCTTCACCGGACTATAGGGGGCGAGTGCAGATGGCACTCCAACTATAATTATCTAAATCTATCTATAATAATCTAATCCGTAGCTGGCCTTTACAGTTTCACCGGATGATACCCTTATCATGTGAGCTGATGATACACCGGATGATACCCCTAGCAAGTGCAGATGGCACTCCAAGCCCGCTAAAGAACTTATGGAGCGGCTGAAGGCCAACTCCCGCCTGACTGATACGACTTAGGTCTGAGGGCACCGCTAGGAGTTCGAACCTTGGATTAGAACGTCGTAATTTCGATCCCTCTTTGAATTGGACGGGGGATCGATCGGAGGAGAAAGTAGCCGATGTACCTTATTAGTATATATATGTTTATACTGAATGCACCTATGTGAATTTATTGACTACTTTAAGTTAAATAGTTATGAAGCCACAGTAAAACGACGAAATAGAAAAAGAAATAATCTTTATATAAGTAAACTTTAATATAAGCACTTTTGAATAGTAATATTTTTTTTATTTTATACGGAGCGGTTTTACTCATCACAAGAAACTTGCATGCTGCACGAGACAAAAGATTAAATTTTAACTAATGATATTGATACAAGTGTATTTATAGGCATATATAGTACTCGTGATATATATTGTTATAAAATTTCACTATTTACTCTATAAACAAAACCAGCTGTATTTCTATTGAACTAAAATACATACTCGAATTTAGTTTCTCGTAGTTGTACAACCACAGCATTACTTGCGTCCTGCATTTTCTATAAATGCAAGGATTTTCATAGATAATAATAAAAACACAGGGCAGAAAATGCTTTCTAGTCCCAAACTAAGTAGAACTAGTGTTAAGTATTTATATAATTTCTTTATTTCCCATAAAGAAATTATATAAATACTTAAAAACATTTTTTGTAAATCTTAATCTTAATAATGTTATAAACACGAAAGTTTGTGAGTATGAGATGAATGTTTGTTACTCTTTCACGCAAAAACAACTGAACGGATTTTGATGAAACTTTGCAGTAATATAGCTTATGCATCAGAATAACATATAGGCTATATTTTTTATCGAAATTTATTTAGTACATACATTATTTATATAGAAAATACACAGACCTATACAAACAATTATACTGATGAATACAAATATATATGTCGTGCGAGGAATACAACCCGCACCATTCCTATGGTCGCGGGTTGTATTCCTCGTAGGCGTTATTACTTCCTAGTAACGCGGTGTGCTTATCCGCTAGACGAATAATAATATAATTAGCTTCTTTCTATAATTAGATTATAATTTAGGCTCATGATAAATTTAAACAACATAATTCAACGTACAAACTTAATTTATTGAATTACGTACGGTCTGAGTCACCGTCAATGAATATTCTTGAATAATTAACCGATTATGTTTACTTACGATTTATCAATGCCGATTAATTAATCGGAATATACGGTTTGAATATAGATAAATGTGTTGTGTTAATTAATAATTGTTATATAATAATATTATCTCGTCTAATTAATATTATATAATTATATTAGTAAACAATGCTAATATTATAATCGCATTTAAATAGATTAATGAATTCAATACGATATATTAATCAATCAAATCTATAAGAAATAGTAATATTGTATATTACAACTATAATAATAATATCTCAAGACAATTTACACAACGCCATCTAGTTCCAAGCTAAGCAAAGCTTGTGTTATGCGTACTAGACAACTGATAACTACATAGAAACTACAAATATAACTATCTATCTAACTAGGATGACGACTGTAACGAGAATGTAAAAATAATAAATAAATAATCCTGGACAATTAACATAACATCTAGATCCAGCAGAGGTTATGTTATGGGTAATAGATAACTGATATAAATACATAGATATTTTTTTGTAAATACATATATACATATAAAACACCCAGATGTATGCAAATTTTTGTATCGTGCGAGGAATCGAACCCGCAGCCATCCTATGTAAGGCGCTGCTAAACCGCTAAATCCTCACTAGTGATAACGGACGGTGACGGTAACGATTACCACATACCATCAGATAAGGTTGTTTGCTTCTTTGATATTTGTAAGTCCAAGTGAAACTAATAACTATTTCAGAGTTAAAAGGGGAGGGGGCAACTACCATGGACACAAAAACTCCGGATATAAGTTTAAAATAAATTACTCAGCCTCTGTTTAACTACTTATTAGTAAACATTACCTGTGCAAGGAAATGTATGTTTTTGAATTTATAATATAGTTCTAAACAATAGTGCAAATGTTTTCCTTAATAATACGTGAATAACAAACTATAAATAAAGCGCCAAAACAATAGATTACTCCGCAAGAATCTGTTGTAAAATTATGGTAGTAGATACTCAATTAATATATAACTTACTGGATTTTTATTGTAATAGAAAGTAACTTGACGGGTATATAGCGAAAAGCAATTGGAGAGACCAACTTCTTAGTATCCCATGGATTCACCGTGCGGGTGCCGGGTCCATCGTGAAATCATCGAGAAAAACTCCGAGGAGTTCCCGGGACTTATGACTTATTGCCGACCTACGTCAACATTTACCTCCACCGCTCGTATTTCTCTCTCTGCTCCAGTAGGAGCCTGATAGTTCCGTAGCTTGATATCCACATTAATTTATTTATTTCGAATTTAAAACGACTCTTATACCAGATAAAGCAGTCAGAAGAATTGTCAACAGTCAACATAATTATATAACACTTGTCTCTCGAGAGTACAGCATGGGGTTTTTCAAGAAGGGTATATTTATGGTCGGGAACGCGCACGTGACACCCCTTGTGTTTCAGGCGTGTATAGGCTACGGTAACCGTTTACCATCAAATGGCCGTATGCTTGTTTGTCACCTAGGTAGTATAAAGAAAACTTGACATGCCCACATTTCGCTGGCATGAAGGCAACATGGTAGGAACAAGCCTAAATCGTCTCTTGGATTAATTTCTTGTCATCATGGTTCTCTAACGGAAGATAAGAACGATAATAGTAGAAATTGGCACGTTACTCTTTGTGTCGTCTAGAATTTATCTTTTTTACCTTTGCAGTTTCCGGTCTCATTGTTGTCATTTTTTTGTTTTGCGTGTAATTCTGTTATTACGAAATCTGAAGCACCACGTTCGAAAACATGGCAATATGCATACACATTTGTCATTTTGCTCATAAGTGGGCGTTAGTGGTCTGTAGCCTTTTAAAATTTTATTACAAAACATACGTATCATTAAATTGCAAATGTGCCTTTATTGTAATTTTAAACCTTGGCCTAAGAGATAAAGATATGGGTCAATATAGTAGTCTACTTATTAGCTAGATTAAATAGAAATACCTACTTAACAAATGCTTAATAAATCTGAGAATGTTGTGGAAATTTGTCTAAAAAATATCGGCTATAGATAGGTCATGGTCTTGATATGGGTTGTTAACCAATTCTGGTCTTTTTCTTTTAGTGAAAGAGTTACCCGGTTATACTTTGTCATCATCTGTGTAGATATATAGATTATAGATAGATACCTCTGTCTCGCCTATTTCAGCCAAACAGTTTGCTTTGCAACTTTGTAGATTTTACAAAGTACCATTTTGTAACCCTAGTTTTCCGGAACCAGAACTTTTTCCATTAGGTTTTATGTCCACTTGTTTTTAGGTCAAGTTTTTTTATTATTGGTTTGGTTTGGCTATTGTCAGGTGCTTGGATCTGTAGCACTGCGACCTTTATAGATCTATTATGCTAGCCCTTTTTCAGAGTTCACTACCTAGACCCGTAAGGTCAAGATTAGAAGGATATTCTTAGAAGCAATTGGTTTTATCTTCTCAGGATAGTATTTATTCAAGTTACATAACAATGTACACAAAGAGTATAGCATAGAGAATGGTGTGATATTTACCATGTAGAGATCGCCATAACGCCACACCTTCCAGAAACCCTTGATGGTAGCGAACATGTTGCGCGCGCGCCGGTCTCCCCACGCCGCCGACGCCGCGCGTGCACGACCTGCGCCCCTGCACACAAACATACACACATCTTACTAATATTATAAACGCGAAATTTACATTTAAAAATGAGTCGAATACTAATTACATTAAAAGTTATTAAAAACAAATAGGGAGGACATCTTCTAATGAAACTAATTATATTTTAATTTGAAATTTACTCTGAACATATTACATAATGCAATTTAGTTCTAATAAGTTTGAAAAGGTAGTATTACCACTAAATGACACATTTAAATCCTATTTTTCAATATATCTCACTTCTTACTATATTATAAACGGAAGAGTTTATGAATGTGAATAGATAGATGTTTGTTTCACTTTCACGCAAAAACTACTGAACGGATATTGATTAAACTATACAGTAATATAGCTTATACTAATAGAGTAATAAAACTTAATTTAAAATTACATACCTATAAGTTAATTATATATTTGTATAGATTAAGATTAAATACTTTTTCATTTCTATTGGAGAAATATATCCAAACCTATGAAATAATTCGTTTCTAAATAAAAATTGTGTTATTGACATGTAACATCATCTATTTTTTCCTTTCCCATTTATTTGGGGTCGGCGTAATATGTTTTCTCTTCCATTCATCTCTGTTCGCAGTCATCTCGTTATTTACTCCCAATCTTACCATATCATCTTTATATGATTTAAAAATAAAAGTATCTTATGAACTCTATGATCAGCTGTTTTGAGCGTAAGTAACAAACATCCAAACATGTATGATACATGCTTAGACTTTCACATTTATAAGAATATTAGTAGAATTTATCTTAAGTGATATGTAAATAGAACGCTAGATATTGTTAAATTAACTAAAGCGTAGATTTTATCACGTCAAACCTCGTTTTCTCTCTCTCTCTTATTAATAATAATGTGCAATCGTTCCGTTTCACTTGTCTACAGCACTGAACCTAGACTACTTCGATAACATAGTATATCTTTGATGACTGATAATAGTGCTCTTATATCGAATGTTTTTGTTTCAAAGAATGTTATAGTATCTTTGCCTTATCCAACATCATATGAGGTTCTCGTAATATGTTTTTCTCTTCCATTCATCTCTGTTCGTTGCCATGTAATACAGTCATATGCATGAGTACAAATGTTTGTATCGTTGGGAAATGGATCGGGTGTTATATGATAGATCAGATGGGTTAAGTAGCTAAACTGTTGTGCTACGGAGGTTGACGAGTTAAATTCGTATTAAATTTCCTTGTGGTCAAAAATTTTTTAAATTCTTGCCAGTTCTTTTCAATTATACATATATAGACTGAACTGGATCGTAGAAAAAAATATTATTCTTACAAAAAAATTAATGTTCATAAGCAACTAGTATGTCCTACAGGGATAAATGCTTTTTGGTTTGATTTTTACAAAGATCGACAAAAACAAGATGAAATTAGGAATCTTTATTATTGATATTTATTTACTATGGTAAATATATTTAATGGACATTTCACATCTTTTATATTTTCTATCTTTACACGAAAAATACCTTTAGTACATTCCCAGAACAAGAAGATATTCCAGATGGAATAGCTATATATTATGTTAATACAATTAATATAAAACTCACAATATTAGGAACGAACCGAAGTAGAGTAATGCCTGATGAATGATGTATATCATTAGACAAGCAATTCCATGAGTATCTTAGATATATTAATAAAACATATTTTATACAATAATATTTTAAGGAAGCTGTATATATTAATGAGGATGTTATAAGGGTAGAGGAATCTCGAAAAAGAGATGGATGGACTGGAAGATAATATGGTAAGAAAAGGAGTAAATAACGAAATTACTGCGAACAGGGATGAATGGAAGAGAAAATCTTATCACGCCGACCACAAATAAATGGGATAAGGAAGAAGCAGATTACGATATGTATACATTTTTTAATGATACACGAGTTGATATTTTTCCACCGCATCACATACTTTAAACTGTGCACATGTTTTATCAAACTGAATGCATATGTTATTTGGTCTGTCAGTTTGCGTAATATTTCTTTTTTTAATTGTAAACACGTGCCTTTCAAACAATCGTTATTGTTCTTCAGTAAATATGTCAGTATCGCTAGAATATTTTAGTTCTGTTACAATTCTTTCTACAGTTTGTTTACGACCATTTGTATTATAGTTTATACTAAATAATTCGAAATTATGAAATTTTTATGTTATATGATTAAGATTTTGTTTTATAAAAGCAACGACAATTATTTATTTATATTTCAATATTACTTTTATTCCTTAGAGTTAAAATAGATTTATGTTTATTTATATACATGAAATATGGTTGTTTTATATTTAAATAATAACTAATAATAAAATAAAATAACGAAAATTTATTGTGCACATTTTCTATCTATCGCACTTACACCTCATATATAATTAAAACTTATACACCTGCGTATTCCACATTCATAATAAAAAAATAAAAAACAAAGTTTAAATAAAATACTTTCGCGGCAGTATGACAAGCAGAAAAACAATGCTATGAAAAAGAAGCATTGACTATACATATACTACTCCATCACTACAAATTACACAGTCATGATATTATCACGGAAAAATATATAAAAAAAAGAGTGAAAAAAAAATAAAATATGTTTTAAATAAATACTTTCGCGGCAGTATGAAATGTCTAATTTAAAACTACACTTAAAATGACTTACTGTGTATCAGGGAACGTATCCGATAACATACTGGTAGCACACTAACCATCACTAACAAACTCTCAACTACACCCGTCTGATTTCTCTGTACACTGCGTATAAAGCAGTCTAGTTATAGAACTAGAGTGTAAAATAAAAAAATGTTTATCAGTGTGACGTCACAACATAAAACAATAAGCAATCGGTGTAAGCAGCCGTGAACCGTGCGTGATTAGACGTGGCGAATGGATCGCTCGGGCTGCGCACGCGCATCCACGCTGTTACAGCTGCACAGGGATCAGGGATGCCAACCGATCGTCCAACAAGTTACAAGATTATTCTAAAAAAATTATTATAGTCTGAGGATGATTCACACAGCGACATCTAGACCCAAGTTAAGTTAGCTAAAGCTTGTGTTATGAGAACTAGATACTGAATACGAAACTGATACAAATACATAGATATATTTTTTGTTAAATACATACATATTATACATTGAAAATACCCAGACAGTCTTCCGTTTTATGTTAGTGCCGTGCGAGAAATCGAACCCGCGACCATCGGAAGTAAGGCGGTGCTGTGCTAAACCGATAGAGCAACGCGGCCGTCAAATTATAATATTGTCTTCAGTTTTTTTAACAACATTCTGAACTTCACACTTACTACAAGTTCCTTTTACGTTTAAGAGATGGGGCTAGCACAACTTTACAATTATATTTTTTAAATAAAAAATTTCGTAAATAGTTTTTATCATTTTTTCAATTTGCTATTTGGCAGTTTGTATTCACTCAAAATTTTAAATATATAATAATGTAACAACATTCATTTAATAGAGCAACACGCAAGTTTCTAGTTCATTCTTCTTGTGATGACTCGCAAACTCATGAGCTCGCTTCCACATGAGTAGTATATATAGAATAAAAAATATGACTATTCAAAAGTGCTTTTATATTAAGTTTATTTGAATAAAGATTATTTCTATTTCTATTCCTTTGAGCGCGTTTGTCCGCAATCTCCCCTGATGTTGAGTGATGATGCAGTGTAAGCTGTTACATGCAAGCTCAAATAATATCTATTCACTCTAGACTTGAAAGACCCAATGTTGTAAGAGGCACGAAAAACTGACGCTGGGCTCTCCCAATCTCTCTAGATTAACTTAGCTGCTCGCATAAGGAAAGATGATGCAAATCGACTGGTACGAGTAGGATATCAACTGTATATTGGTGGAGCCGCTCTTTTTTAGAATAAAAAATAATTTATTCAAATAAACTTACATTGAATCACTTTTGAATAGTCATTACATTTTTTTAATCTACCGCTCATTCGGAAAGCTGTCTTACCACAAGAAGATCGAGCAAGAAACTTGCGTGTTGCTCTTTTAAATAATTTTATTATTACTTTACATTTTTAAGTTTAAGTATGTGAATACAAACTCACTACGTCTTATTGTACGATGGTAGAAAGGTGCTGGAGAAATGAGGTTGAGAAGTTCCTAAGCACATTCGCCAATATGCAGCCTTCAGAACACCGATAAATAAGCCCATACGTCATATAAGCACGTACGTCAGTGGTTAAGACTTTGAAGCCTCATAGACACAAGTGATTCGTCCCCGATAAGTCTCCTAGCTTTAGTAGGAAGACATCTTCATCATTGTACAGGGTTGTAAGAAATTTTTACCTATGGAATTCGGTCAAAGTACCATGAAGGTACCAAGGTTTGGACGCTCAATATACAATATTTTATACTGCATTGTATAAAGTTAAATGTTGCAATTTTGGCAACCCTGACGCTGCATGTGATTATGCCTTGTTTATTTAATTAATATTTGGGAATTTTCTACAGGTGTCCAAGATAAAAAATTTAATATTAGGTATATATATAAATACATAATTTTAATACACTAACAATCTACCTCGGCTTTGCACAGGAGTCATTATTTTAGGATCATAATTTTTTTTTAATGAAATACTAGTACAAATTTCTTTAAGAAATTGCAACAGGCAATTTTTTTTTTAATGAAGTTAGTTAATTCGTTAAAAAAAAATTACAGCAACCTATTCTAATATTAGTTTAGGTAATTTATAGTATACAGAGAATAATAAAACCTATATACAAGTTTTAAAGTCGATTAACATTATTAATTATATTAGTATGTTTATATAAGTTGCATAGTTCTGATGGTTTCACCTCTACACCAAGAGAGTTAACGCTATTGTTTATAGAAGAAAGAAATTGATTCGACCAATTTTCTTAATTTAAATTAATTTAATAATTAAAACCTATTACAATACTTTTTGTAAAAGCCAAGAGATATTGTTTATAGAAGAAAGAATGGTTTTTTCGACTTATTTTCTTAATTTAATTTAATTTATTAATTAAAACCTTTCACAATACTTTCTGTAAAAGCCAAGAGATATTGTTTATAGAAAAAAGAATGTTTTTTCGACCTATTTTCTTAATTTAATAATTAAAACCGTGTAATTATTAAAATTAATTTAATAATGAAATCATTACACGTACGTCTCTACAAAAAATATTGTAAAATACTTTTTGTAAAGACGTACGTGTAATGAAAAGGGTGCTCAAACTATTGTATTCATTGACGTAGGTACACATATTGTACATATTTTCAATTTTGTTTTGAACTAGTTCAAATTGCGTCACGGTATTACTAACGAATTGTTTTTGTGATCGATTAAACACGCACTTTAGTCTAATTTCTATTGTTGAATTTGTTTTTCAAATATACTGTTATGGTTCAAATAACTTAACTGTTTATTTCCTTAATACAATTGTGTCAATAATTTCGAGTAGAGGAATGTTGTTAGTGTACTTTTAATCCATTAAATTTAAACAAAAGTGTTCAGTGAATAATTGTATGTATTTATTTGTAATATTTTTGTATCTACGAGTATACGTTATGAGTGAAACAAAAACTTCGTACCTTTTTATGTAAATTGCACGAACGAAGGAGTAACAAATTTCGCAAATATATAGTTTATGTAGAGATGGAAAGCATAATGCATTTTTTTTAATTACGTATAAAAAAAATATATAAAAATCAGTACCCCTTTTTAGGAAGAAAAAAAAATGCGCGGACGGGAATGTATGAAATTTGGCACATTGATATTTTATGTAGCGAAGGAAAGCAGAATATGATTGTTTTTTAATTATGCTTAAAAAATATATAAAATCAATAAAAAAACGTTACACACACTATTCTATATACACACTTACGCGTATATAGTCTTTTGTTTATTGTTAAAATATATATATTTGTTATTACTGGTTCTCAGATCTATCGTATCGTATTTTTATTATGGTCGAATTTCGACCACTAGTTATTATTTAATATTTCATTTTTTTATACTACGATGGTGGCAATCAAGCATACGGCCCATCTGATGGTAAATGGTTAGCGTAGCCTATGAATTATTTATTTTAATTAATAATAAATTAACAATATCATGCACCCTGACGATTCCAAGATGGGATATTTAGACTACTTCCAAATACATACATAATAATGATATACATAATGTACTACATAACAAATAGCCTAAAATGTCATATTGTGGTAGCTATTCTATCCCTTTATGATTAGCAAACGCTTGTTATTAATTTTATTTATTTAAAACTAAAATGAAAAAGATCGAATCTACCGAGAGACGATCTCTCGGATTAAATTGGTTTATTATTGCTTATTTTACTAGAGACTTAATCAAAAATATAAAATTTTGACCGATAAATTTGTCGGTGGCAGCAAGACTCGTACTTACGACCTGTAGAATCCAATCGGTGTAATAAACCACTAACTAATGACGATCGAACAATGCAATTTTTTTATATAATTTATTAATTGTAAACATAATGTCAGTTATGAATAACTCATACATTTTTAAATTACATAATAAATCTAAATTAGAAACAGAAATAAATTCAGTTATAAAAAATCATATTGCACGCCTGAGCTCATTCTATTGTATTATAACATGTATAATGAACTGTAATGTGTTCAAATTTGTTAATTATATTTATTGATCTATTAGTTAATACTTATGGAAAATAATTAAGTAAACACTTAAGTTAAAAAAAAATTGTTAGAATTAATAACTTACCCGGAAATATTATCCCTGTCGGCCACCAACTTGATTTATTTTTTAAATATAATATTTAATTCACAGTTATATTGTTTATGAATAAGAAAAACAAATTAAACTATGATTTCACTATAATATTAACACCGGCACAAACAATGTTTACGCGGGAAGCAGCCGTATTGGAGCTTTTAAATTTGGAACACGGCCCGCACGTGCGCACGAGACATAGACAATCGCCAATTCGTACGGCTTTGCGAGAATTCGAAATTCAATTTAGAATTTAATTAATTTATCCGGCCTCTTTTTATTTTTTTTATGATTTCATGAGGCTATGTCACATCGCGATTCTGCCCGGCGGTCGACTGTTTTCAAAAGAGCCCATATGCTCTTGACCTTGCGCTGCTCTCGGACAAACTGAAGCGGCTTTTCGTTCACTCGCCGTGTTTTATAACGCATTATTGTTGTCACAACTTTTACTGTGTGCGACGCCACTGATAGTGTCGGAGTACTATACGCGTGTTTCATGTGTGCTATGGTTTACCATAAGTGGCAAATTAGCTGCACATATTAAAGTAACATCAAACTAAATTTCCAATATTAACACCAATTTTAGAATGCCTATTTTGTGATATGTCTACGTAACTATTATTTACAGATCAACTTGGTTATAGTTAATTAGTTATATCTATTTTAGGTAATTTATATAACATATGTACAGACGAGATGAAAAATAAAAGTCAAATGATACCAGAGACAAACTTGATTGTTACATGTCAATTTTAAATATGTCAAATGCATGTATTATTTTTTCAATAGGGTATTGACCCCAATCGTCGGCCAATACAGAATTAGAAGATCAAATATCACTCAATATCGCAAAAAATGTCATAATACTAACAAGATCCATTAAAAAACGTTTAATGGGCGGTGTATTTATAAACAAGTGGACCGGTCGTTGTTGTTACATAAAGATATGCGAATGTAAGACATAATACACAATCAATACACAAATAGCTGACGACGGTGGCCGATGTGTGTTCTGTTACAACATTACGTATCATTTGTTAACGTTTATTAGTGCCATGCATTTCGGGTGCCATTGACATTTCGCTAAATGGATTACATAAATGGATATTTAAAATTTTTGCGCTTTTTTTAAACATTTACAAGTCTAGCAGCGTCATCTAGTCCAAAACTAAGTAGTTTGTACTATGTGTACAACCTGTTGGAAAGTATACACTGTATCCTGACAAACTAAGTAGGGTAAGTTAGGTAACCACTATTTTGGAAAGTATATCACAAACTGTATCCTGACAAAGTAAATAGTAGGGTAAGTTAGGTAAACCAATACTATATGTACTTTGGAAGGTATACACTGTATCCTGACAAACTAAGTAGGGTAAGTTAGGTAACCACTATATGTACTTTGGAAAGTATACACTGTATCCTGACAAACTAAGTAGGGTAAATTAGGTAAACCAATACAATATGTACTTTGGAAGGTATACACTGTATCCTGACAAACTAAGTAGGGTAAATTAGGTAAACCAATACAATATGTACTTTGGAAGGTATACACTCTATCCTGAAGAGATAAAAACTATCCCTCCTAAAAATATCCTTCAAATCTTGTCTCTGACGGGGCTAGGTATCGAACTTCAAAAAAGGGCGTGCATAATGGATCTATGTAGGTAGCAGTGTTACAGTTCTAAAACACAGACACAAACGCCTGAATAAAAAAAATGGCATAGCATGGTTGTGATCCGTGAACTCTCTATAGGCAAACAACTGCCACTTACCACCATCAGCTTGCTTACCGAAATACCCGTATTCAGATACATAAAAAATTAAATACAAAAGTTACCTTTGAAATAAAAACGAAAATATTATATTGTGATACACTCACATTTCACAACACAGAATATAGACCTGATCTCATGCTCATTTTATCTCTACTAGTGCCCCGTCAGCGTAAACCGATAGCGCAAGCGGGTGCATCATTCCATTATCATCCATAAATAAACAGAATATAAAAATATATAACTCTGAAACTGCTCCTTTTAAAAATCGGTTAAGACCTACGATTAATTCTCCGCTAGTAATGTTCCATAAGTGCAAGTACATTATGGAATTTTCCAGTTTTCGAGAATGAAATTAAATTGAAGAGTACGTCGTAATCATAGCTGGTAAACGGAAGTGCATACGCCGAGAACATAATCTTGTTGTAATTTGCCGGCTTTTACATGCTCATAATGTTTACGATGTGATAATTACTTTATTATATAAATAGTTTCTTTACTACATAAACAATTTTTTATACCACTATAGTGGTAAACAAAATATGCTATCAACCTTAACTACACTTTTTCGGGACTACTCTGATGCTGTTAGCCGCAGCTGGCCTTTACAGCTTCACCGGACTATAGGGGGCGAGTGTTGTCTACACTCTACAATCCAATCCCGCAGAAAGACTTATGGAGCGGCTGAAGGCCAACTCCCGCCAGACGCATACGACTTTAGTCTGAGGGCACCACTATCAAATCAAAATATCTTTATTCATGTAGGTCTATTACAGACTTATGATTTGTCAATACCGTCGGAACGATTTCGAGATGAGAAGAACCGATAAGAAACTCAGCTCGTATTCTTTTCAAATAAATTTTGTACACGTTTACAATAATACAGATTTATTTGTAAATTCAAATTTGGGAGAATAGAGTGACCACCAGCATATGCTATTGCAAAAGCAAATAGTCTAATCAGTGTTCGTAACCCGAAAAGACCAATCCCCACAACTTCAAAAGTGCTTGTATTAAGTTTTTTTTAATAAAGATTATTTCTTTTTCTATTTTTTTAATATTCATAGAATGCTACAATGTACAGATACAATACAATGTAGGTAATATTGTAATTGAATATATGTCGTATCACATGTCCCATAAGTAAATTATAATTAACATTCTGCCATAGCGTGCTGACATCTGTATTTAACAGGCTCGGTGGCCTAGCGGTTTACCACAGCGTTTTGCTTCCGACGGTCGCGGGTTTGATTCTTCGCACGGTACAAAAATTTTTATTTATGAGTATAATTATTTGTATCGGTCTGGGTGTTTTCTATATATATTATGTATATATTTACAAAAAAAAATATTTAAGTATTTATATCAATTGTCTAGTACTAATAACACAAGCTCTGCTTACTATAATAGATGGCGCTGTATTAATTGTCCAGGATATTTTTTATTTAGATTCCTAAAAATGCCCAGACCGATACAAACAGTCATACTTATGAATACAAATGTTTGTACGGTGCAAGGAATCGAACCCGCGAACAAAGGAATCAAAGCGGTGTGCTAAACTGCTAGACTATTAAAACCGTCAAATAAATGTCGCCTTGTAATAAAAGAATATTATTATTATTAATAACGCTGGCGTGCTAACATTTAATTATCACAAATTAAAAAAAAAATAGTATAACGAGTCTTTATGTCGAGAGTAAAAGATTACCGCCGTCTGTCTGTTTAAAAATTTGTCTTATAATTGAATAACCTCAGGTTCATAATTTATCTTCAAAGAAACTATTGTAAATAATGATTAACTCTCAATGAATTCGCTATACTTCATTATCACATTAGAATATATATCTATGAAGAGTCAACTTAGGTTACATAAAAATTCTATCGTCTCTTGATGGGAACAAGGTTCACTTCCTAAATAAGGAACACACATATTATTTATAGTTAGACATTTTTCAATACAGCATGTAAGAAAACTACTTAATCTTATTTAGATGTATAATATATAACTCAAAGGTGAGTGACATAGTGACCTATCAACAGCCCAAACCACTGGACGGATCGGGCTGAAATTTCGCGTGCAGGTAGATGTTATGACGTAGAAAAAATCCGCTAAGAAAGGATTTTGATTAATTCTACCCCCAAGGGGATAAAATAGGGGATGAAAGTTGTATGAAACTTTGTCAATGTTAAACCGATCGGGCTGAGACTTTGCATACATAAAGCTACTATGACGTAGGCATCCCCATAGAAAGGATTTTGATAAATTCCACCCCTAAGGGATAAATTAACGCGAGCGAAGCCGCGGGCAAAAGCTAGTTATACTCATAAGATGAACAACTTAGTAACTAAAGTAATGAATTTGTGAAACAAATGAAGTATTGAATTTTATCTTAATCATATTATTAATATTATAAGTGCGAAAATATTTAAATATGGATGTGTTTAGTCTTTCACAAATATTATAATACTTATAATATACGGGAAGACAATTTCGATAGCTTATAATTAGCTATAAGATTATATGTCTTATAATAAGACATAATAAGATATCTTATTATAAGACTTATAATAAGACATATATTCTTGTTAAATTATTGTTAAGTTTATTAACAAGATTAAAATCTGTTAATAAACACACGTGCTACATTTTTTAATGTAAATAAATATTTAATCAATGAAAATTAATATTAGTAGTTAATTAATAAAGTATTATATTTTGCTGTTACTATAATAGGTCGACATTGATATGGCAATTAAATAAAATAATAGGGGGCCGGATTGACATGTCAATACTTGATTGTCATTTATCAGCTCATTGTTTGGTTTAGCGGCATGCAAAGACATCGTGCTCATTATATGAGATCTTTACTTATGGAAAATTTAATTTTAATTACTAAAAAATATCATTTTCACCATTAATGGTACATACTTAAATACATGACACTAATATTATAATATTTATTATAAAATTAACATTACATAGTATAAAACAAAGTCGCTGTCGCTGTCTCTCCGTCCCTATGTATGCTTAAATCTTTAAAACTACGCAACGGATTTGAAACGGTTTCTTTTTAGTAGATAGAGTGATTCAAGATGAAGGTGTATATATATAATACATGTACACCCGTGCGAAGCCAGGGCGAGTGGCTAGTAAATAATAAAACACTCACAAAACACTTAAAACATTACTATAAATTATAAATTTAGAAAAGTTGCTTTTACCATATTGTTTGTAGTGTATAAAAAAGTTTCTTATATATTTGGCTGACTTCCTTAATCTACTACTCAAACTGCAGGAATTACCCACATGAGATTAACTTAATGTGAAACAGTTCTTAATATAATTACATTGTATCAATTGTTAAATTTAAACCTTAAGGTGGAGTTTCAAACAACGCATACAACGACACGATATTTGGGTTTTTTATTTCACATCCTGCTATTGTAATTTTGATAAAAATTTTTACAAAATAATTTAATAGGTTTTTTTGCAAATCATCCTCATTAGTTTAAAAAGATAAAGAAGGTTAGACCTTCTTCAATTAGTTGCGACCGCAATGTCTGTTTTTGCCTACCTTTTAATGTTGTACGAATACAAAT